AAAAGCATCCATTTGGTTTTGTCGGTGTTTAGGACCAGTTTGAAACTGAACAAATCTGAGTGGATGATGTCGAAGGAGGTTTGTAAAAACTGGAAAACCTTAGCAGCTGTTTTAGCTCGACACTAAACAACTGTGTCATCAGCGTAGAAATGTATGGATGGATCAGGGATGAACTGACCAACATTATTTATGTAGATTGTAAAGAGGGTGGGTCCTAAGACTGAGCCTTACAATATGGATTTATTAGTTTATTTAGTCATGGTAAACGAGTCTTTAATTAATTAATTAATGTTCTTCTTCTACATTCAAAAAATGATGGACATTAACTTTCTCCTCTCTGGACCAAAACTTCTGATCCGCTCAAGATAATTTAACAAAATTGCATCATCACTAGACGGAGTGTCTTTTACACTTTTCATCTGCCCAGCTCCAAGGCCAAGGTCACAAATCAAGGTCAAAAAATAAAACAAGTTCTTTGCTTGTCCGGGTCATAACTTGTGATCAATTCAAGATAATTTAAGGTAACTTGATACACATTTATACCACTACAAGACCCCAAGGTCAAGGGTGCAGCTCAAGGTCAAAGGTCTTTGCTTGTCCGAGCCTTTGCTATAGATTACTGTATAACAGTTTGTTGACAGATAATAAGCCATATGTAGTACTCTTGTTAAAGGTAGAGTCCAAAATGATAAATTAAAAAGAGATTAATATATGAGTCCACCTAGAAATTATCTCAACAAATGGTTTAACTGGGATGGAGTAGGGACGTAAAACAAATGCTGAACTTGGCGACCCTAACAAGAGAAAAAAAGTGAAAGTTGAAAAACTTTTCATTTCAGCTGATGACACAAACTCATACGGAGCTACAGGAACGTGATGCTCGCAGGAGCACCTGCGCTGAAAACAAGCTCAGATGGGAGGATAAAATGTGTCATCTTCTGTCCAACTGTTGCCATGGTGATACCCAGACCCAACACAAACATTATGGTTGTTACTCTCACAAAGAGAAATCCAGCCAGGAGGCATATATACCTGCCTGTATCCATAATCTACTCCCGGTGTTGTGTTAATCCTCTGTTGGAGGTCGATCGTTGTCACCAGCGTGGCTTCTGTTAATCCAATAATTCGTTTTACAGGTGGGCCAAAGCCCGCGGGGACTTTAGCTGAGGTTACAGTTAGGATAAATGGAAACATCTGGAACGAACGAGCCCGACGGTGATGTTAGGAAGCTCAGCTGCTTTCAACACAAGTTATTGTATATCTTGGAATAAAATGCAAAGTTGTGTCACCTGAGTTCAGGAAACGAGGCATTACAAAAAACAGGAAGCAGGAAGTTGCTGCACATTGTGCATCACATGGGTCTACACAAACCCTACAGATGATCAGTCACCCTGTTTTTACTGCTCATCCTCTAAACCTGTGGTTCCCAACCCAGGTCCTTGAGGAACACCATCCTGCATGTTTTACTTGCTTCTCTGCTTTGAGGCACCTGCTTGATTCACAGGCTTCTGCAGAACTTAAGGAAGTAACTAAATCACTGAATCAGGCACGTTGGAGCAGGAAACAACTGAAACATGGTCTCTTTGTCACGCCCCCTCCTCCACTGCCGGCCCGCTTCCTTGTTGACAGTCGTGTCAAACTGGTTGAAAACAACAAAGTCCATGCTCAATAATCCAGGTATACAATCCAACATTTTTCAGTCAGGTCATCTGGACAGTTTCTTTTTTTTGTGCTGAAACGTTTCTCTTTCAATCCAGAAGGCTTCATCAGTCAAGGAAACACAAAAAAACGGATTCTTCCCCCAACAGCTTACTCCAAAGTGGAACAAACCAGTTATATTGCTGCTAAGATGGTCAACAAGGAAGAGGGCTGACAATGGAGGAGGGAGCGTGCCAGATACACCGTCTTAGCACCAGCATAACTGGTTTGTTCCACTTTTGGAGTAAGCTGTTGGGGGAAGAATCAGTTTTGTTGTGTGTTTCCTTGACTGATGAAGCCTTCTGGATTGAAAGAGAAACGTTTCAGCATAAAAAAAAGAAACTGTCCAGATGACCTGACTGAAAAATGTTGGCTGTGGGATGGTGTTCCTCAGGGACCAGAGTTGGGAACCACTGCGATGCAAACATGCAAAAATGTCAAAAGCTTTTAATAATTTACTGAAATACACAGCGTGAAACAATCGGTGAACTAAAGACTTCCTGTTGTGGTTCGTCTTATTGCTGCTCAAACTTCAGCTGATGTTTGCAGCTCGTTAATGCACCTCGGTGCTGCTAATTAAGACAAACTGTTCAAATCTAGAGCAGAGATCAAATAATTTTCTGACACCCAGTTTCCCTGCGTCAGTGTCTGAAAACAGCATCTGTTTTTAATGTCATCAAATCTCATTAAACGTGACCACATCTGGGCTTTGAGTGCTTTAAACAGGTTTAGTCTTCATGCAGTCCAGAGTGCCATGATTGAACGTGCACATTAATTTATAACCACAGTACTGGCAGCTCAGAAGGCCTTAAATGTCTTCAGTCAGTGTTGAGCTCCTTGTTTTTGTTCTGTGAAATTGTTGCATGATTTCCAGACGTGGTTTGTCTTTCTCACGTATCTTCAATTGTTTGCATCGTAAAACAATAAATGTAATAAAGTTATGAAGGCTCGTTTACTTTCTATAAGCAGACATATCCAGGACTAAACTAAAGCTGTTCAGATCCTGTCTTTTTGCTGGTCCGGGATCAGGTGTTTCCACTCGGCTGTGATTGGCTGTTGACGCTGACTCTGTCGACGCTCGGTCAGAATCCGAAGCTTTGGATGTGGAAACAGCCTGATCCTGCATGAGAGCAACAGTAATCGGTGGAAACCGTGCACCTTCTCACGGTTCATGAGATCATTTGACAACAAACAGACTGACAAGCACATTTAAATACAGGTAATTACATGCTTCCCCAAATCAAGTCAGCGGGTGATAATGTGCACTGTAAGCATAAAGATAAACCGACAAATAAAGTGTTCACAGAGTCTGTAGCACTTTTCTTATTAACAACAACTCTAAACAACTCCGACATACGACATGAAACGAAAGTCATAAAACTAAAATAGGAAAAGCTTTTAACCTGGAGTTTCAAAATAAGAGTCTGTTTTTATCATTGCTTAGATCAGGCGTGTCCAAAGTGTGACCCGCGAGCCATTTGTGGCCCTTGGAGTGATTCTGCACGGACTTGAGGGGTTGATGCAGACGTAGACCTTCTGCAGATGTAATGGTGATACAGAAGTCCCTCGTTTATCGCGGGGGATCCGTACCCCGAAGACCTGCGATAAGTGACAAACCGCGAAGTAGGAATAGTAATACAAGTAGTAGTTTATTTTATTATAAGGTGTTTTAAGCCCTTCCCACACTCTTGCAATATTCTAAACAATGTTTCTAAACTCTCTAAAAGACACAGAACGTCATGATTTCAGCTCCCTGCCTCCTCTGCTCTTCGCCACCTGCAAGCGCTCTTGGCCACGCCCACTTCTCCGCTCTGCAGCTGATCAGCTGTTTAACTGCAACAGGAAGTTTACCTGCTGCAGTGTGGGCTGCACAAATGTGCAGCAGGTGATAAATAATTAAAAATAATTCATTTAAAATAAAAATCCCATGCCGATCATGCGGCTCATCCACTTGTGTCATGTCCAATCTTATTTTGAAAAACCGCCATAGAGCGAATCCGCAATAAACGAACCGCGAGGGACTACTGTGCATTTTTTTATTTATATATAAGTTTTAGGTTTAACAGAAAAGCAAATGAGAAACACCAAATAACTTTTGCTAAAATTATTTTTTTTAATGATGAGTTTCAATTTCATGGTATAAAGCACCAAAAACCTTTTCTGACTTTTAACAAAAAGTAGATTTTTGGACCGTCATTCTTAAAAGTGGTTTCACATAAAATACGTTCAGTTGATTTAATCGTGGACTCACAAGCACGACTCATTTATTGAGCGTGCGTCAGGATATGGACTCCTTGAACTCTTTTTGTTTCTAACAATAGACGAAAACGTGTTTTCCAGGCACAAGACGACAGAAAACAATGGACCCAACAAATCAAATCAAATGATCTTTATTTTTAAAAAGATTCATGGTTTTGAGGTTTTGGATCTACAACAATGTAGAAATCCTTTTCCACCAAAAAGAGTAACAGTTTGTTTAGTTCACGTTGTTGTTGAGAGTTAAAATAGTTTTTAATGTTGAATTTCATTACGTGTGTAACTGAACCTTGGATTATTACAGCAGGAAGCTTTAACTTTTCAAAATAAAGTGGATACTTCCTGTTACTTCAACTCTACTCTCTGAGTCAGATGTTGTAGGGTCAGTGTTGAAGATATTACGGCTCTGAAGCAAACGATCCTTTTAATTATTAGTGAGTTTATTAAAAACAGTTTAATGCTTTTGTGTCTCCGCTGCAGGTTCTTGGGGTTCATCAGGGAACTCGCCAACTTCTGAGTGCGGAGCGCCTGTAGAGTCATCCCTGTCCTCTGATCCACTGCCCTCCTCTGGACGTGTGCGTGTCATCAGGACTTTAAGACAACCAAACACACACCGGTGCCCCCCTCCCCCTCCCACATGGCCCTGGCAGACCTCTAATAACTAGAAGATTGATGAGGTCTCCTCGACGCTCCAGAGACCTGGCGCTGTGTCGATAAGACAGCTTTCATCTCACCACGTTCTCCTCCTTCTTCGTCTTTGCTTCATGAGGAGGTCCGGCTGGCTTTGAGATGTGAGAGGGGCTCACGACGTGCCGACACCTCTGTCTGAGGAGGACTGTGTTTTAGCAGACAGGAATCATGAAATGCCTCGGCTTCGTTTTCTGCCACGGCTCTTTGGTGAAGTGCCGTTTGGAGGCTGAGGCGGGCGTCAGAGCCGGCATGCCGCTGTCTGACCACCGGGGCTGGAGTACGCTGCAGAGGGGGGAAACCCAGAGCTGAGAGGAGCCGAGCACACGCACACACACACACACACACTCAGAGTGTCACACAGGACAATGTGCAACATCTCCTCCTGTGATGTGGACAGTAAGGTGGACCAGTACTTCCAACCCACGCTCTACATCATAGTCATCGTTCTGGGGCTGCCCACCAACTGCATGGCTCTGTGGGCTGCCTACATGCAGGTGAGGCTGGTGCAACCTGTGCAACACACACACACACACACACACACGCACAGTAAAACTTGAAAAAACTCGTTCAGTTTTCACATTTCAAAATCCTAAAGATTAAAGTGTAAATGTTTGATATCGTCTGTTTGACTAAACTCAAGAAAGAACAAAAAGAAGCATTTCATCTTATTTACAGATTTTGTTTTTGACCTCGATTTTGACAGTTAGTTCAAAAAGGGGCGGGGCTTAAAGGGATCATTGTAGCGGACCAATCAGTGTTTATTTTTTTTTTTTTAAAAGATGCAGCTTTTGTTTTTTCTGTTTATAAAAAAGATTTTAACGTGTCAAAGTTGAATGAACTTTACGTTTGACGCTTTGGTGACCTCACTCCATGATCGACATGTGATGGACCCCCGCCCCCCATAAGTTGTCACATTCTGTCACGTATAACAGGGAGCCCACTGTGCGCCTGATCTGACCTCACAGACAACCTGTAAAACCTACAAGTCCTGACTATTTTAATGTTATTTTTAGAGCCCGACCAATATGGACATTTTGGCTATCTCCGATACCGATATATATCGGTAATGCCGATAACCAATATATTGGCTGAAATTTTGGAGCTTTGTCCACCCCAGGAATGTCAGTACACAGCTACTTTAAAACCTGTTTTAACACTTGAAGTCTTGAAACAGGCTTCCTAACGTGCGTTCACATTTTCTATCCTCCACTATTCACCATGAAGTTATCAAGTGTGTTACAAAAATATCAATTAAACAAAGAAACGCCCTCCTGTTCATTGTTTAAACAGTCAGTCACGTCTGGTGAAGGTTTAATTAGGATTGACTGCAGCTGCAGGTTTGTTTATTGTTTGGTAGAGAAGTAAATATTTCAGACAAACAATGCATTTCATTGAGGACAACAAAAATAATGTTACTAACACTGCTATATATTTACTTCTATGTTTGATTTATTGTTCTAGATAACGTTTTACAAGACAATAGCCTATGCTAAGTTATCTAAAGGTTAGCTTGCTAACTTGAGAGGCACGTAGCTAATGACAAGCAGGTTGGAGGATTGAAGGGAATTTATTATAGATGTTTATTTTATTTTACAGATCCGTTACAATAAACTTACCATGCTCTGTTCAGCAAAATACGTCACACAGTATTGCTCCCTGCTTCGGCTGTGCTGAAAGTGAAACTTAAGTGAATAGCAATGACTTTAAAGTAACCTTCGTGTGCCCTCTACTGGATACATTGTGCAGCAGGTTCCAGCATTTTAGGGGTGAAAATTAGAAGTTTAGATCAGCAGATTATGGGACAATGATACCGATATATCCCCAAACATCTGTATCAGTCTAAAATATCGTCCCCACCGATATATCGGTCGAGCTCTAGTTATTTTATTATTTATTATGGGACAGTCTCCTTCTGTAAACTTCTTCTTGTCCCGCCTGTAACTTCAGATAATTCAAGAAAACTTTATACACATCGGCATCATCACTAGACTGAGTGTCAACTACACCGCTCATCACCTCAGCTTCAAGGTCACAAATCAAGGTCAAAGTTCAAACAAGAATTTATCTTGCTCCACCCATAAGGTTCTGAGTTGGTTTGAAAGGTTCTGGCTGGGTTAAAAGGTTCTGGTTGTGTTTAAAGGTTCTTGTTGTGTTCAGTGGTTCTGGCTGGGTTAAAAGGTTCTGGTTGGGTTGAAAGGTTCTTGTTGGTTGAAAGGTTCTGGTTGGGTCGGGTCAGCGGACCTACAGGATGTTTGCGGTGGAAACAGTCAACATTTCAGATGAAGCTGATAAAAACAGACTTGCTCTGATGCATTTCGGTGACGTTGGATTTCCGAGTATCGTGTCCAGCTCGGCCTGCGAGCCACCACCAGAACCCTCGGGGTGTTTTCCTGTCGTGCATCAAACACGTGCAGAACTGGACTTCCCACAGATTGTCCGTTTGCTTTGGCAGCTGCAGGAAGAATCTTATTGACTTTTCATTTGTTCAAATTATTCTTTCAGCATCTGGACTCTGTTTGAACGTATCGAAGACGAGAGTTGTGCTGCGTCATGCTCACATTAGCAAACAACCCATGATGCTTCGCTGCATTTTTTATTGCTACGTCATCAGAAACCATGAAGCAGTTTTCATCTGCTGAGATTTGATCAGTAAATAGTTTTTTGTGTTACAGAAGAAAACTAGGCCCAGTCAGGCTACGAAAGGCAGGGCGATCATGTAATCACGTGTGTGCGGGCCTTTTTCTGTCTGTTAGCAAAATATTTCATGAAGAAGAACCTCTCAGAAACAGCTGGTTGCAGTCACCTCAGTCAAAGATGGCTGCCACCACTCATCAGCCTTAGAAGACTCAAGAATGTTGGTGACTTTCTCAGTTGAATAGAGTTCAATCAATATTTTTGTGTGGTAGTGACTGAGAGTCATCCTCAACTCAAACTCAGAGCACCAACAGACTGCGCAGAGCTTTTTATAACACTGTGGGGACCAAGATGGCGGGCGATAAGCATTCCTTTAACAAAAGTTACTTTTCTGTTTTCACAAGTTTTTTGTTTTCTTGCTTCGTCTCTTGGCCCCGTCCTTTCAGGTGCGTCAGCGGAACGAGCTGGGCATCTACCTGATCAACCTGTCGGTGGCGGACCTCCTCTACATCATCACTCTTCCTCTGTGGATCGACTACTTCCTGCAGCACGACGTCTGGATCCACGGGCAGGAGAGCTGCAAGCTGTTCGGGTTCATCTTCTACACCAACATCTACGTCAGCATCGCCTTCCTGTGCTGCATCTCTCTGGACCGGTACCTGGCCGTGGCGTACCCGCTGCGCTTCGTCAAGGTTCGACGAATCAAAACAGGCACGTCCTCAAAACACACCTGTGAACGCACGGCGCTGTAAATCAGTTGCTAACATGTCCGATGGAGTCAGGAGCAGGACAGAAGTCCAAAGATATTAATCGAAATGTTCACATAAGTAGCCCTGTCGTGATAAATCAGTTAATCTCATGATAAATTAAAATTATCAACCTCATTTTCATTTATTGGCTTTATCGTTTCTTCTCTTCTTCTCTCTTCGCTTAAAGCAGCTAAGCTGAGGAGCTAAGCTAACAGGCCGACCTCAGGGAAAGAAACCTCCGTCTTGTCGAAGCTCCAAAATTCTCGGTTGAAACCCGTGCTTTTGTGTAAAAAGTTGTTTTTCTCTGCAAAAAGAAGCTGAGAACTTGTTTACGGAGTTTTTATTAAAAGCTTTGTGTGAAAAATGCTGAAGAACTCGAACCACACCGAGTGTCAGCCATTTTGAGAACTGAAAACAAGGAAAGAGAGACAGCCCATGTCACGTCAAGGGACCTCCCTCCCATTTTTCTTAAACAGACATGTTGCTCCTCCCTCACTATTCATCCTTAGGTTTAAACGGTCTTATATTGCCATCCGGTGGTATAAAAAGGTACTACACTCAAAATAAATTAACCAACATTTCTTCTTAAATTTGACAATAATTACAAATTATTGTCAAATTTCAAACAATATTATTGTTTATCGCAATGATTTCTGAGACAATTAATCGCCCAGTAAAATTTGTTATCATGACAGGCCTAGTGAGCGGTTACCATGGTGACCATGCTGAGCCAGTAACAGCAGTTCCAACGTTTCTTTTTATTCAATTAAATTCAGTTTATTTATATAGTGCCAAATCACAACAAAGTTGTCTCAGGGACTTTACAGAAACATTCACATGCATAGAAAAGCCAATTAGTAAAGTTCTCTATCTAAGGAATCCAGCAGACTCGTTGAATCTTCACTTCGTTGCAGTCTCCCATCCTGAGCAAGCACAGTGGCAACAGTGGAAAGAAAAACTCCCTTTTTAAAGGAAGAAACCTCCAGCAGAACCAGGCTCAGGACAAGAGACCATCTGCTTTGACCGGCTGGTTGAGAGGACAGGAAGGAGAGACAGATGAACACAGAATGGTAGGTCCAGGTCCAGGTGTAGGTCCAGGTCCAGGTATAGGTCCAGGTCCAGGTATAGGTCCAGGTCCAGGTGTAGGTCCAGGTGAACCTGAAAAACAAAAAACACGTTAGGAGAGAAAAAATAATTACAAATACAAAACAGGTTGATCAGAGTAAGTAAAGACAGAAGCAGAGTGAAGGATTGTGGTCAGTGTGTCCTCCAGCAGTCTAAGCCTATAGCAGCATAACAAGCCGACACTAACTATATAGAAAAATAAAAGTCTTAATCCCAGTCTTAAACTGGACCATGTGTCAGCCTCACGGACAGAAACTGGAAGTTGGTTCCACAAGAGAGGAGCCTGAGAACTGAAAGATCTTCCTCCCATTCTGCTTTTAGAAACTCTAGGAACCACAAGTAAACCTGCAGTCTGAGAGCGAAGTGCTCTGTTAGGAAAATATGGAACAATAAGATCTGTAATATAAGATGGATCTAGGTTGTTGAGAGCTTTGTAGGTTAGAAGTAAGATTTTGAAATCAATTCTGGATTTGACAGGGAGCCAATGGAGAGAAGCTAAAACTGGAGAGACATGATCTCTCCCAGTAACTCCAGTTAAGACTCTGGCAGCAGCAGTTTGGATCAACTGAAGACGTTTTAAAGAAGTATTTGGACACCCAGATAATAAACCATTGCAATAGTCCAGTCTAGACCTGACAAATGCATGGACCAGTTTTTCTGCATCATTTTCAGATGTTTCTAATGTTAGTGATATTACGCAGGTGGAAGAAGGAGGTTCTAATAACGTTTTTAATGTGGGGGATAAAAGACACGTCCTGATCAAAAATAACACCAAGATTTTTAACATTAGAGCTGGAGGAAAGATTAATGACATTTGAGGAGAAAGACTGAAAAATTACTTCCTAAGGTGCTCAGGTCCAAAAACTAAAACCTCAGTCTTGTCTGTTCAACAGGAGAAAATTAAGGGTCATCCATGTTTTTATGTCTTTAAGACATGTCTTTATACATCTCATATATTTATCTTGGTTTTCTTTACACTTCATCACTTCATACATGAAGACGTTTGTTTCAGTTTAGATTATTGCGGTTATGTTTGCTGCATCGGCTCCTTTCTAAATGTTTCTCTTCAGGAAGTGTTTGGAACGTAAGGAAACGGAAACTGCGGTGGTCTCTAACTGTCCTCTCTCTCCTGCTGCAGCCGTCCTCGTCAGCTCCACGGTCTGGATCATCGAGATCGTCGCCAACTCGGCTCCGCTCTTCCACGACGAGCTCTTCCAGGACCGCTTCAATCACACCTTCTGCTTCGAGAAGTACCCCATGCAGGACTGGGTCGCAGGGATGAACCTCTACAGGACATTTTTCGGCTTCCTGGCTCCGTGGGCGGCCATGCTGGTTGCTTACAGAGGGATCCTTGCCGCGGTGCGATGCAACATTTCCACGGAGCGTCAGGAAAAAGACAAAATCCAGCGTCTGGCTTTGAGTTTAATCCTCATAGTTCTGCTCTGCTTCGGCCCGTACCACATCCTCCTGCTGGTGCGCAGCGTCATGTTTCTGAGGAAGCCGTGCGACTGCAAGTCAGAGGAGACCCTGTTCGCCGCCTACCACGTGTCCTTGGCGCTGACGAGCCTGAACTGCGTGGCCGACCCCATTTTGTACTGTTTCGTCAACGAGGGCGCCAGGAACGAAGTGAGCCGAGCCCTCGCGACCTTGTTGTCCACAGCGTGCCGCAGGCGCTCCTCGTCCTCGCCGTCGCACGCCGACATACTGAACGCCGGGTCGGTAACCATGGAGACGCCTCTGTCGGCCAAGAAGGCGTCCTGCGTGTACGCCGACAGCGGGAAGACCACCAGCTACAAGACAGAACTGTTGGTAATGAAGGAGGAGTGTCTCCAGATGACCATCCTCGGTGTTAAAAAGTGAATTCTGTCCGTTTTGAGAGCTCGACCGTCCAGCGCAACAGGACGGGCTGAAGTCAGCTGTTCTGCTCGTCAGCTGTTCTGCTCGTCAGCTGTTCTGCTCGTCAGCTGTTCTGCTCGTCAGCTGTTCTGCTCAGTAATGAGTGTGGACAAGTTTCCAGTAAAGGGCCAAAAGAAGCTTAATGATGGGTCTGATCTGAACGGGTCACCTTGTTACTTCATGAGGGGGGGTTCCCTTAACTTAACAAATTAACTTTGTTTTTAAAGCAGTTTGTGAAATGACTTTAAAATGTAAGCTTTCTGCCAACACGTTGACATTTTGAGCTCACATCTTTTCGCTCTTTAAGCTGTAGCTAAAGCGATGTTATCATCAATCCCCAAAATAAAAAAGGTGTTTTTATTTTCTGGGGTTGGAAAACCAGAAATTTACCACAGTTTTTGTAAGAAAAATCATTTCTCTCGTGATTTTTTTTTTACATGAAGTGAAATCTCTCGTCCATCCAGTAGGTTTTATTCGGGATGCCACGTTTCTTTCAAACTGAGCACACACTAAAAACTGCTGGGTTATTTGCAGAACTCATTAGCAGGGTGGAGCTGTTGTTGTTGGTTTGACCACAGTTTGGGTCAGAAAGCTGAACCCAGTGGTAAGGTTGGAGTTCTTCACAGTTAAACCTGTTTTAGGATATTATGATAAAAATAAAGACGGTAAAAAGCAGACTATAAGATGTTTAACCTGGTGGCTGCACTAAAGTGTGAGCTTCGTTTTCTAAAAAATATTATAAATAAAACATTTGTTGGTGCTAGCTAGCTGATGCTATTAGCAGTTAGCGTTAGGTAGCTTGCACCAACTCAAGTTACCGTAATTTCCAGACTATTGAGCGCACCTGAATCCAAGCCACGCCCACTAAATAAAAAATAAAAAATTGTAAATATATAGGCTGAACTTGTGTACAAGCCGCAGGCGTCCACATCGTAACACGAGATATTTACACAGATTTTTTAACAACTTTTAATTAAATGCATACCAGCGTTACACCATATTCTGTGACCACCGTATATTGTGGCCGTAGGGGGCGCTGTTGCATTTTTACATCATACTTTGCAATATCTGATAAACACTATCATATTCTGTGACCGTTTATTTTACTCATGATATTAGTGGGCAGATGATAATTTTTATTCTTTGGAGGAAGGAGGCCGACTCTCTCCTTCCTCCAAAGAAGAAAAAGTAAAACCTGATCACAAATATCATGACTATTATGGAAATATAGACGGTCACAGAATATGATAGCGCTTATCAGATATTGTGACGACACTGTAACTTATATAAAAACATTAAATACATGAGCCAAACTGTTTCTGCTGACTCTTTACTTCCTCTAAGTAATAAAAATTAACATCTGACCACTAATATCGTGAGTATTATGAAATTATAAACGGTCACAGAATATGATGGTGTTTATCAGATATTGCAAAGTATGATGTAAAAATGCAACAGCGCCCCCTACGGTCACAATATATGGTGGTCACAGAATATGGTGCAACACCGGTAACACAAATACGTACAGTAAATGGTAGTTTTTTTTAAATAGTGCCTGTAACATGTCTGGTTAAAAAAATAAAATTAAAATACAGTATCCTACCAGGAAAAGTCCTTGATCACTTCATCTTCCTCCTGTGCACTAAAACCACTAAAGTCGTCTTCGTTGGTGTCAGAATTGAACAGCTTCAGAAAACCCCGGGGGGGGCTCCCACAGGGAGGGGGAGCAGAGAACTTTGTTTCTTTTTTTTGTTTCCAGTTTTTATGGATCAAACTATAAACTTGACGCTTCTGAGTAACAAGCAGTGTTGGCTCTGTCCAAATTTGACCCGGTGTCGGTAAAAAAAAACAAACATTTTGTTCTTAACCCTGCAGTTTTTAGAGTGTACCGTTAAAGGGGACCTATGAAGAAAAGATGCCATTAGACTTTTAACAAGAGCTTTAAAAATGTCAGAGGTAGGCCTGTTGCGATAAACAATAAATCAATTAATCGCACGATCAATGAAAATTATCGAGCTCGTTTTCATTTATCGGTTTTATCGTTTCTTCGTGTCTCTCTCTTTCTACTGAAGACACTGGATGACAAAAAACACACCCCCCTTTCTCTTTAAAATCCATTTTAACGATCCAAAATTGCGTTTTTGGATCGTTTAAAGCAGCTAAGCTACGAGCTAAGCTAACAGGCTCGGGAAGAAAAAAAATCTCCGTCTTGTCGAAGCTCCAAAAATTCTCGGTTGAAACCCGTGCCTTCGTGTAAAAAGTTGTTTTTCTCTGAAAAAAGAAGCTGAGAACTTGTTTGCTGATCTTTCATTAAAAGCTCTGTGTGAAAAACGCTAAAGAGCTCAAACCACACCGAGCGTCCGCCATTTTGAGAACCAGAAAACAGGAAGGAGACAGCCCGTGTCACGTCAAGGGGCCTCCCTCCCATTTTTCTTAAAAGAGACACGCTGCTCGCTCCCTCACTATTCATCCTTCGGTTCAAACCGTCTTATACTGCCATCCAGTGGTCGAAAAAAAGGTATTACACACAAAATAAATTAACAAACATTTCTTCTTAAATTTGACAATAATATTGTCAAATTTCAAACAATATTATCGTTTATCGCAATAATTTCTGAGACAATTAATCGCCCAGTAAAATTTGTTATCGTGACAGGCCTAGTCAGAGGACGTGCGTTTCCTGTTCAGATGGAGACGGGGCGATTGTGTTCGTTTCCAAAAGTGGCGAGCGGTGAGACTGAGGGGAACGCTCAGATCCGTTTATTCCCACAATCCCTTTCTGCTGATTGACAGGCTGTAGCATGCGCTCTTACCGTCCTGCTGGAGTGTTTGAGTTCACCGGTTGAGCTGGTCCTGAACTGCGGTGAGATTTTTAAGAAGTCCCAATTATTCTGCGTCCGACAGCCACGTTCCTCTGTGCCACCATCGCGTCGGTGTTTTAGATGTTTTATTTGATTTGTTAGTTTTTAAAAGCTTTTGAAATATTTCCACTCGGCATGTTTTTTGCTGCTGATGCTCACTGACGTTGGAAACAACTGTGTGGTGCTCGAACCACCGGCTGCACAGTGGATCCGGAGAGCCAGCTCTAGTAAAATAACAAACCCCTCCAGAAAACCGACCTCCACGTGGCTCGAGTTGCTCCTCCTCTACCACCCGGCAGCTCAACTCTGAGGTGAACGTCACGCTGTGGTTCAGTGGTTTTGGAACCCATGTGATGTTTGAGAACTGGGTTGGTTGATTCCTACAAGGTGTGTTTGATTATTATTAAGTTATTTTTACATAATTTTTTAATGAAATAAGAAACTTCATGGCGTGCCTGAGCTTCTTAACTGTGAGATCAGAAGGGCTTAGAGACGAAGTGTCTTACTTTTTATACTGTGAGCCGTGTTTTGTTGTTTTTACCACTTTTGATATTTTAATTTCTCGGAGAAAATCTTTTTTTTTTTTTTAATGCTCATTGAAATGTATTAATTTTCATAAATGCACAGTGAAGCAGAACATCGGTGTCATCATGATGCAATAAAAGGGATCATTCATCTTTTTTTTCTTGTAATAACTGAAGCTACACAGCAGCCAAACGAAACGCACGGTGGATCAGTGGCACGTTTACTGCAAAGGGAAAGCACGTTTCTTCCATGTGAGCTTCTTCACTCTGTGTTGTGGCAGTTGGGCCGGTCGTGCATGCAGCTGACTTGCATGTAAGTTCCACCCATGCTTCAAATCTTGATCAGACCATCACCAGAGCCAGGCTGTACATTTAAAGGGATATTTCAGCCTTTTTGAAGTGAGGTTCTGGTCTGAGGTTAACCCTTGACTCCGTCAGTTCAGTGAAAGGAAAGTTTAGGATTACCAGGACTGTTGGGCTAACAGCTGGTCCAGTTGTTGCCAGGTCCAAAGTGGATTGTTCTCATCTTGAAACGACTTCAGTCTTTTAAATTATTAATTAAATGGTAAACTCTGAAGCACAAACAGAAGCGTAACTTAACACTTTAGACTTTAAAATACTTGAAACATGTTTAAAAAAAAGTTTTTTAGTGATGTAGTCCCTGTTGTGGATAGTCGTGTATCTCTGCGGTCCTTAAACTGGAACCAGTCTACATTTAAATGGTTTAAAATAATAATAATAATATTCAGACGCTTCAAACTCATAAAACATCAAAGCAAAAATGTTCAGTTTAATAATGTTAACAGAATATAAAAAAGTCCAAATAATTCAGAAGAAATAATTCACTCTTCGAACAGTATTTAATTTATTTGTTGCTTTTTTCTGTTTATTTTTGTTCAAGAAGGAAAACCTTCATGGCAGATTTATTAGTGTTTTATAAATAATTTTTTCATGAGGTTGTAAACATCTTTTATAAAAATGTTTGACAGTAAAGTACTGTAGCTTTATCCCTTCAGGTAAATGTATTTATTTATTTTTGCACAGTTTGTTTTTGTTTAATCTAAAAATAAAAACTTCTCCATCGTTACATATCCAAGGGCGTGCAGGAAACGTGCACATTTTGAACGTTTAACCTCTACAGTGTGATGAATGCACATCAACGTTGTCTCACTAGTTGAGAAACAAACGTCACTCGTGTCCTTTTCATCCAGTGCACGCAGCAGCTCAGATAAATGTTTACTTCCTGTTTACAGTTGAATTAATAGCAGCTTTATTTATCTTTATTAATCGCTGATAAAGTTTTCTGTGTTGTCAAGTTGTAATACCTTCAAAGATAATTACCCAAAGAAATAAAAATGAAAAGTAAAAGTGGACTATTTGATTGGGGTAGCCTCTGCATAAAGAAGGCGGGACTTTGACCAGCCACACCCACCCTTAACCACGCCCCTGATCACGAAATGAGGCTGTAGCACTTCCTGTGCACCTTCTGCAGTGTCTGCAGAGTAAAACATGAACGCTTGTTTCTTCTTCTTTCTGCTGTTCCCTCTGCAGAGACATCCTCCTCTGTCTCTGTCTGTCCTCAGTGTCCTCTGTCCTCACTATACCTCAGTGTCCTCTCTAACTGCATCCATATGTCTCCTCCTTGTCTTTTTCCTGGCAGCTGCATTTCTAACATCCTTCTACCAATATACTCACTGTCCCTCCTCTGGACATGTCCAAACCACTGGCCCTCCTCTGGACATGTCCAAACCACTGTCCCTCCTCTGGACATGTCCAAACCACTGTCCCTCCTCTGGACATGTCCAAACCATCTCAGTCTGGTCTCTCTAACTTTATCTCCCAGTTGTTCAACCTGTGCTGTACCTCTGATGATCTCATTCCTGATCTTCTCCATCCTTGTCTCTCCTAAGGAGAACCTCAACATCTTCATTTCTGCCACTTCCAGTTCTGTCTCCTGTCTTTTTGTCTCCTGTCTTTTTGTCTCCTGTCTTTTTGTCTCTAGTCTTTTTGTCTCCTGTCTTTTTGTCTCTTGTCTTTTTGTCTCCTGTCTTTTTGTCTCTTGTCTTTTTGTCTCCTGTGTTTTTGACTCGTCTTTTGTCTCCTGTCTTATTGTCGCCTGTCTTTTTGTCTCCTGTCTTTTTGTCTCGTGTCTTTTTGTCTTGTGTCTTTTTGTCTCTTGTCTTTTTGTCTCTTGTCTTTTTTTCTCCTGTCTTTTTGTCTCTTGTCTTTTTGTCTCCTGTCTTTTTGTCTCCCGTCTTTT